TCAGGGATCGTGAACAGTGACTAGGGTTAGAAAGGGGGCGGCCCTTTTTAGGGTTTTTGTGAACAGTGATTTTTAGGGTTCTCCCTTTTCTCTAGGGTTTCAGTGAACAGTAGCTGACCCTTTTTTCATTCAATTTTCCTTTTCTTATAACACAAAATCTGAGCCACTTCTCAGCATAGGCCCAATGGGCCTCGTCCAATTCCACTTCTGATTCTCTCTCTTTTTTTTTTTTTAATTTTTCTTTTAATTTCTATTTAATTAACTAACTAATAATCTAACTAATTAATTCTAATCTTAACTAATTAACTAATCTTATTTTAATTTTATCTTAATTAAATAATTCTAATCTAATTAATTAATAATCTATTCTAATTTAAAAAATTAAAATAAAATAAAAAATCTAATCTAAATATAATTTAAATTCTAAATCTTGAAATAAAAATCTAACCTAATTAATTAAAATTAAAAAAAAATATATTACATTATCTTAAAATAAAATATATAAAAAAATAAAATAAAAATAATAACAAATAAAAAGATGCCACGTATCGCAAATTTATTGGGCTAAAAAGTGAAAATGTTTATTTTTGCTGAAAAATGCGCTACGCTGCATAAGCGAGGTAAATCAAAAAATAAAGCCGGACGAATGAAAATTTTGAAAAAGGTAGGACAAATTTGGGGTATGACACCCACCAAACAACACCACACTCGACCACAGGGGAAACTTTGTTCCGACTAGCTTACAGGATCGAGGCAGTAATTTCGGCGGAGATCAGAGAACCTTCTAGGAGAAATGAGTTTCCCCTCAACGAGGACATGAACGACAAAGCACTAAGAGAGGAACTCGATTTGGTCGAAGAGATTCAACTGAGGGAAGTCCTCTGCGAGGCCTCGTTAAAGCAAAAGATAACTCTGCGACACGACGCCAAAGTCATAAAGAGAGAATTCGAAATCGAAAGCCTAGTCTTGCAAAGAAATCACAAAGACTATCGCAGGGGCATACTCACAGCAAATTGGGAAAACCCCTACTGCTTCCGAGAAAAAACAGAGAATGATGCCTATTACCTTAGAAACTTACACGAGGAAGAACTTGCTCGACCATGGAACGCCGAAAAATTGAAACAATACTACATTTTGGCCTAATAGTTGACACACCTTGGTCGACAACGACGGGGTATGACCCGACCACGGCGGCCTGCTCGGGTACAAGCACAAGTCCCAAACTTAAATAAAAAGGTAGGTTTCCATTTTTTGACGAGTAAATCCCTAGCCCGACGAGGTAAACTCAATCGAGTTCCAACGTCGTAGTACCAGTAGGACAGAACACCCACCTCGCGAATGAAGGTTCACTATGCAGTGTCAAGATCTCGACCGAGATCTTCTCACCGCTGTCAGTAAGGAATCCAACTCCGTCCACTCGACGAGCTCCCTTCACTATCAAGCAATAAAGTTGTTGAGCAAGACCTCGAACACTTTGCAAAAATAATTCAGCGATGAACATCTTGTTACAAGCAAGCAAAATATACACAAACGTATGAGAAAGTAAACACGATTAAAAGGCATACGATTAAAGTGAAATGAGATTAGGTTAAAATGACCACAAAGGTCGGCGCAGTCATAATATTGCAAAGCATAAGTGACGGTTAAAGATTACAAAACACGACGCGCAGGCTGGAATAAATACAACAAAGTATACAAATTAAACATCATGCTCCCCTCCATGGCGATCTCTTCCTCCTCCTCTTCATCGATTCTGGGAGGGGTGATTATTCGACCATCGGCCACCCTATGCAGGAACCCGATCCCCTCGGTGGAAAACTCGACCCCTGGGTTAGCAAGTCAAAGTTGAGCCACGGTGTTGTCGAAACTCATCTCGACGACATCCACATAGTCCTGCTCGAGGATTTTGATCCGAGAAACAAACTCAGCACTAGTCCCCAGGGTTTTTAGTTCGTCATACTCATCCGCAGCAGGGGCAGCGACAACTTCAAGAGCAGCGATCTTGTCCTCGAGGATCTTTTTCTCGGCAGCATGCTCGAGCCTCTGGTTAGCCAATGTCGCACTTAACTTAGCATTCTAGATGACAATCCCGATCTGAATCTTATATTTCTCTTTGTAACCATCGAAGGCAATCTCCACCTTGAGCGTTTCCCCCTCAAGCTTCCTATATGCTGCCCGCTGCTTCTCCAGCTCAAAAATGGGACATGTCTTCTCGTTATTGAGAGCAAGAGCAACCTCCAATACCTTTATCAGGGCGACCACATCTTGAGCCAACACCTTCCTTCTGGCCGCCGTGTCAAGGCCTAGTATAGTGTGAAGAAGAGTTCTTCTTGTTCTAGGTTATAGTTTTGATAAAGACAAAAACATCAACAAAAAGAAGAGTCAAAGCTTGAAGACTAGAGCAATCAAGTTTAAATTATCAAAAAGCTTTGAAAAATTAATGGAAGAATCAAGATGGTTGAATATTCATTACAATTCAAGTATATATATCTTAATTTCTCATAAAAACCATGAATATTCAACTTAAACCTTTCATGAATCTTTTAAAATGATTTTTAATTTAACTATTCAGTTTTTTGGTAAATTATGACGTTTTAAACCCCAGTAACAGCACTTTAAAATCGCCATAATTTGCATAATTTTCTCAAAAAATATTTTTTTACGTTGCAAGGGGTTAACCGATTAACCATTTGCTAGTGCAAATGTGTTAATCAATTAACACTGAACCAATGGCACTTTTTCATGAAAACTTTGATGTAAATGAATTTTTGAACCATGACATCTTTTCAAGTATTTGTACACTTTTAGAAAGGTGTTAAGGCATTATATAAATCATACTTTTTCAGAATTCAAACTCATCTCTCTTTCATAGCAATTCAAAACTTATATTCTCTCATTTTCAAAATCAAGTGTTCTTGGCATAACTTTTTGTTGAAACTTTTGCGCATCAATTTCATTACATTCTCAAATAGTTTCAACTACATAAATCATTGAGCACTTGTACTACATATTGAGAATTGCCTACTAGATAGAGAAGATCAATTCTAGGAATTGATATACATTCTTATACAAATTCAAACACTTATAAAAATTCAGATTGTTGTAATTTCCTTGTTGTCCAGGATTGTTGGATGTAAGAGAGTGAATAAGGGAGGATTGTTCTCTTATTGCACTTTGTAAAGATCATAAGGGTATTGTCCTTATTGATTGTGTTGATTATGTTAGAAGATTGTAGGATAGGTCTTAGTGGAAGACTTGTACAAAGATCTTACATAGTTGAAATCTCTCACGGGAAGTGAGGGAACTGGAGTACTCTCGGATTGTGAGGGGAACCAGGATATATCTTTATGTCCTTTACTTTTAGCATTTATTTGTCAAAATTTTTACTTTCATATCATTTCTGAAAAATAACAAAATTAGTGCTAACACTTCAAATTGATAAAAGCCCAATAAATCTAATTCACCCTCTTAGAGACCGCGCATAAACTAACATATAGTTGAAGAATCTGCTCGAGGCACGGCCAGAGAAGGGCCCTCTTGAAGAACCCCCTGTCAAAGAAGCAAGGAGGCAGCGCGAACTTGTCATCGACTCCTCCATCTCCCGTCAAATCTTCCGCCTCATCCGACTGAGGCCTCTTTTTGGTCGAGGTGCCCCGGTCCTGTTGAGGAGAAGAAGACTGGTCGCCACTCGGGGAAGAAATAGAGTCGGGTCCAGAATCAGCCCTCGACTCGTTCTAGAGGTTGACGAACCTGTCTTTGGAACCTCTTTTCCCACCTTTCGCAACATTTCCCTTGGCCATCGAGAGATGAATGTTCAAATGTAAAAAATGCGCGAATCGGATGTCGATTGCCACAAACAGCGCTACTGTTCCATGTAGAAACCATAATTGATCATTGATCAATAAATATGAATTGCAACAATGGACTTGAACTTTCAGTGCGGCAGAAGATGGACTAACATGCAAGATTAACAAAGCAGTTATACCAGATTACTGATCTATTAACATGAAATGCAGATATATATTTCATAGACATTAGATTGAGATCACCTATGTTTTTAACTAAGATACCATACTTGCTTTGCATATGACACAGTGAATCGCTCAGAGTCTCTCAATTATAATAGTTGATAATATGAAATTGACTCTAAGCCTATTTAAAACATTTTTTAATATTATATTTTAAAAAATTACATCGACTATGAAAGTTGTGTATTATGTTAATAAATGTTTTTTCAAAATAAATTTGATTTTTTTTTAAAAAAATAAACCATCAAATCACAAACAAAAAATATAAATAATCAAAATGGTTAAAGAAACGAACACAAAAAACTGCGATACAGTATTTTAACAAGAATGCATAAAAAAACATATCAGTGTTACAAAAAAGAAAAAACACGCTGTTCTTCTCATTTTTTAGATACCTCGTTTGGTTTGAAACTTTGGATAGCACTCTTTGGAATATTTATGAGTTAAAAGGCTTTAAAAGTGATTTTTGGAATGTGGAATATTATATTTCTTTTTCTGACTCAATATAGAATTTGGAATATTATATAAGACTAACTTTACAAGCTCAATATCATTTTGAATATACACTAACAAAAAAAAACACCAATTCCGTCTTAAAAAAATACCAACTTATATTATTGAATACCTTTTCAAACAAATATTGTCCGAAATTACAAATTTCAACACGATTTTTCAGAAACGGGGTAACACATTTTCTTTGCAATTAATTTTTTTAAACCATTAAAAAATTATTTAATTTATATATTATAATAATTAAATGTTATTTTATTTTTATCTATTATAAAAAATTACAATTCCAACCATTGACTTGTGTTCATCTTTCTCTTCTCTATAGCTCCATTTTCTCCTTCACTCGCAACCAGATCCACACTCACTCACACTCATCATTTTCTCGCGACATTTTCCCGAGAAATTCCCCATTTCCATGAAAATCCCAAAACCCTAAGAACGTACAATTTCTCGCATACAACAATGGCAGTCACCACCGCATCACCAACATCGCCACCACCATCAATGGCCCAAGATCTACTCAATTCCCTTCCCAAAACCCTAAAACTCAAAACGAAACAACAAGAGCTTCTCCTCCGCGTCACAACGCTAGGTTTAATCTACATCCTCGCATTCATCACTCGTCTCTTCAGTGTTCTCCGTTACGAATCCATGATCCATGAATTCGATCCGTATTTCAACTACCGTACAACTGTTTATTTAACAGAGCACGGTTTCTCCGAGTTTTGGAACTGGTTTGACTCAGATTCGTGGTATCCGCTCGGTCGTATCATCGGCGGTACGCTTTATCCCGGTCTTATGCTCACCGCCGCCGCGCTTTATAAAATCCTCCATTTCCTCAGATTTGCTGTACACATCCGTGAAGTCTGTGTTCTAACGGCGCCTTTCTTTGCTTCGAATACAGCGATTGTTGCTTACTTCTTTGGGAAAGAGGTGTGGGATTCCGGTGCTGGAATTGTTGCTGCGGCTTTGATTGCAATTTGTCCTGGGTACATTTCGAGATCTGTCGCTGGATCTTATGATAATGAAGGAGTTGCGATTTTCGCTTTGTTGTTGACATTTTATTTGTTTGTGAAAGCTGTTAATACTGGATCGTTATCGTGGTCTTTGGCATCTGCGTTTGGTTATTTCTATATGGTTTCGGCTTGGGGTGGTTATGTGTTTATTATCAATTTGGTTCCACTCTATGTGTTGGTCTTGTTGGTAACTGGGAGATACTCTTTGAGACTTTATGTTGCTTATAATTGCATGTATATTTTGGGAATGTTGCTTGCTATGCAGATTAGGTTTGTTGGGTTTCAGCATGTTCAATCTGGAGAACATATGGCTTCTATGGGTGTCTTTTTCTTGCTCCAGGTTACTTCCTCATTGCATTGCATGTTTTGTTGTTATTCCTATTTGAGTTTATCTTGGTTTTGTCAGATTGAATTCATATAGACCGGCTATGGAGATTTTTTTACAATGTCTAGCTATCATAGCTGTTGGATCATTAATCATGTTTTATTTTAATCTTATTTGCTTTTAAAGTTAAGCATGATTTGATTGTGATTTGCTGAGTGTTAAACCTTTTACACTATCACAGTCAAGCTCTTTTTTTCTTCTCTTTTCTGATGAACACATTAATTACAAGTTTGTTGATGTGTCTTAAATTTATTTTCTACATCATTTATGAAAGAATATATGCAAGAGAAAAGGGGACATGCAATGTTTTATATAGACATGCAATAAGAATTTAACATTTTCTGGTTATTTTGAAATTGTTGCATAGCGGGCTTATATAACAATATCATTAGTTTCATTGGATATTGGTGTAAAACTATTTTACATTGACAATGCATCTCCAGTAAACTCTATGTGTAATAACTAATGTTTTTAGACAATAGTATTCTTGTGAGTTAAAATTAGCCAATATTCTTGTGGGCGTTAAAGCTGTATGTTTTTGCTAGATTCCACCTGTTGGTAGTCTTGTGCACTGAGCTTCCCTTTTAAAATTAGTACCTAATTATTTATTTTTTGAATTTCTCTTGTTTAACTTTTCAGTGAGCACTTTTAAGTTTTTACGAATACTATTTTGTGAATGAAGAATCCATAAGCTAATTCAAATTTGGATAGTTTCAATATGTGTTGGTTAAAGGTTAATGTTTTCCTTAAGCATGCTGTATTATTGAGTTTTATATTTGGATTCATGGATGTGGAAGAAAAAAGAAATGTTTGGATGGAGCCTTGGTTACAGCATTTTCTCATCTACCAAATAAAGATAATTATAATTATTTGTTAGTAATAATATATTGTTTACTTGTTTTACATATGCTTGGGTGGGTGTTTTATTTAAGTTAACAAGTATATTTTCTTAGGTGGGGGTGTATATGCCTAGTTTATTTGCTTTGTGGCATTGGAAGTTGGGTTCTGCTGTTACAAAATATTGTCATGATGTTGTTTGTTTACCGAGGATGCCTCTGTATCATTGCTTCTCTGTTGATTAGCTTGATTAAGTTAGCATGCTGTCTCTTGTGGCTTTGACTTATATTGTTTTTCCAGGTATTTTTCTTTTTGGATTGGGTAAAGCATTTGCTTGGAGATGTAAAATTGTTTCAAGCATTTTTGAGGATTACTGTAACTGGTGCAGTTAGTGTTGGTGCCATTGCCTTAGGACTCGGCACTGCATCTGGTTACATATCACCATGGACCGGAAGGTTTTATTCCTTGCTTGATCCAACATATGCTAAGGATCACATTCCAATTATTGCTTCTGTCTCTGAACATCAGCCTACTGCCTGGTCATCCTTCATGTTTGATTTCCATATATTGTTGTTCCTTTTCCCTGCTGGGCTCTATTTTTGCTTCAAGCGCTTGTCAGATGCCACAATCTTCATAGTTATGTATGGTCTTACAAGCATGTACTTTGCTGGTGTTATGGTTCGATTAATTCTTGTTGCTACACCTGCTGTATGCCTCATTAGTGCTATTGCAGTTTCTGCCACTGTGAAGAATTTGACTCGGGTTGTGCGAGCAAAAAGCCAAACCTTACAAAGTGGTTCTGGTAAAGGAACTAGTGCTTCAAAAGGTTCTTCTAAGGTTAGGATTTTGAAGTAACTAGTTGAGCAAAAGGCTTGTTCACAGTTGTTGCATTCTACTTTTTCAATTTTATTTTATTCCTCTGCATATTTTATTCATATGCCACTAGAATACTTGCTAATCCATTATGTTGCAATAGGTATGATGACAGCCATGTTCTTTCACGACAATTACTGTGATCTTTTTTTAATTTATTAGTTATTTTGTCAACTAGAGTATTAAATATTGCATTTGCATTAGATTTGTGTTTTTGTCTCTTGATTTCAACAATGAACGGTTTTCAATTTGATTATTGTGGTAATACAATTTTAATAGTGTATATGATTTATTTACGTGCAGGGTGTAATTGATAACTCACAGCCTTTCCAAAAGAATGGTGCTATTGTGTTGCTTCTCGGTGCTTTTTATCTTCTCAGTAGATATGCTATTCACTGTACCTGGGTTACATCTGAGGCATACTCATCTCCCTCAATTGTCTTGGCTGCAAGAGGTGCCCACGGCCAGAGGGTTATATTTGACGATTATCGTGAGGCTTACTTTTGGCTTCGCCAGAACACTGCACCAGATGCCAAGGTGATGTCTTGGTGGGATTATGGTTATCAAATCACGGCCATGGGAAACAGAACAGTTATTGTTGACAATAACACCTGGAACAATACACACATAGCAACTGTTGGGCGTGCAATGTCATCTTATGAGGATGAGGCGTATGACATAATGAGATCGCTTGATGTTGACTATGTATTAGTCGTGTTTGGTGGTGTTACTGGTTACTCCTCTGATGATATTAATAAGTAAGCCCATTAAGTTATATATTGTAATTTCACATCCATTACTTTTACTTAATGCATGTTCCCATTACTTTATGAAAATGGTACATAGACACCCATAATATTCACAGCTCTACACAGCACTTACACAAGTGGTTTCATTTGATTCTTTGAGTATATAAAATTTGTAAGTGTTGTCGCTGCTGTTGCCACCCTAAGTTTGAGCCATTTGCAAGAATTGTGTAGGTAGCATTAGTTGTTCTTTTCTCTCCCTTATTTTGGTGTTGGTCATTTTTGTCTTCAAAAGTGTGCATATTGTAGTATAGGCTGCCCCCATCCTTGATTTTGTCTTTTAAACCTTACCCTTTACACGTTTTGGCGTAAGCCTTCATGTTTACCAGATTTATTTGTATCAGCATGCTATCATCATGTTTGTTCACATTGACAGGCTATTTCAATGTTAGCAAGAGCAGGAGAACACGGGACTAATATATTTCTACCCCATGGTTTCATAGTTTGTTATACCGTTATGGCATTATATCTTGGTTTCTAATTATTGACTTATTGGAATAAGTCTTACTAGTGCACGCTTTATTTTTTGTCTTGCTAAAATTCTTCACTTCAAAGGATGAAATTTTCGCTTACTAATTGTGTCTCGTGTCTTGGATATTACCATTTCGCGTTTCCTGAATATTTATTTATCTTCCCTGCTACACTGCTTCCTGCAATTTTTGTAACATATTCCTCATTCTTGTTTAGATTTCTATGGATGGTGAGAATTGGCGGTGGAGTTTTTCCTGTAATAAAGGAACCTGATTACCTTGTCAATGGAGAGTATCGTGTAGATAAAGGAGCAGCTCCAAAGATGTTGAACTGTCTTATGTAAGTTTCTTAGCGCTATTTGTCAGGCTTGGCATTTAAAGGATTAATGTCCCAACAAATTTGTATTCATACAAATCTATGTTTGCGTTTGGAACAAAAGTACTGTAGTAGACTAAACTTAACTAGGTGCATGTTTGGTATCACGGGGAGTTTGTCAGAATCATCATGATCCTGACAAACTCGTAAAATCATTTCACTCTTCTAAAATGGGTCTATGGCTAGGGTATTTGAGTTCAGGTGCTAGTGTTTCTGAACTCAAAAAAGGGAATAAAATAAAACAGTTTTATATTGTATGTATAGGCCTATGATCAGTTGATACATGATTTAATTATATTCCTTTTTATTTTGATGTTAGGTACAAGCTGTGTTACTATCGGTTTGGGGAGATGACAACAGAATATGGCAAACCACCTGGGTAAGCTCCGCATCCCTTACTGCTGGCAACTTAGTATATTTTTAACAACAGCACATCATAAAATCTAGGTGTCCTTATTAACAGGAGCACCATACTATCTAAGTAATTATATATCAGCATGATAAAACTAGAATGATCAATTGTTGATATATTATATGCAACCAACGTCTAGTTTTAAAGTGGAAAATGGAATTACGCGTAACTACTATCTCAACAAAGGGAACATGATGAGTCTATAACACTTTGACTATATGGGATTCATGCTTGTTAAGCTTAAAACATCCAATTGTTATCATTTTTTTTTGTATTTGGAGATAAGTTTCTGATTATTATTGTTTGATATTTATTCATCAAATGAATGAGGTAAGAAGCTCTACACTGCTCATGAGTTTGGGGTATTCCATGATGGAAGTAAGATTAAGCCGTCTCAAGTCCCCATACCTATGGAAATCAAACTTCAGTCTTATTCCACACCTTTTAAATCTTAAATCTTGGTGTTTCTTGCAACACTGTTGACCGTGCCTTTCAAAGGCATTGAATACGAGTATGACTATAGTTTTGTCCAAAGGCATTGTATATGAGTATGACTATAGTTTTGTCTAAAGGCATTAATAAATATGAATGGGGCTTCATATTGACAAGGTTGTGACATGTTCTGTTTGAAGTGATGCACCTCTCTTGTTTCTTGGATTTTTTGTTTGTAATAACTTGTATCTTGGAATGGCAGGTATGATCGTGCTAGAGGAGTTGAAATTGGAAACAAGGACGTGAAGCTGGAGTATTTGGAGGAGGCGTTTACTACTCAGAATTGGATAGTTCGTATTTATAAAGTGAAACCACCTAAAAACAGGTCCTAAGTCCAATCTCACCTCCCTAAAAAAACACATGACGAAAAAAAGCGTAAACAAGAAAGACCTTTTGTTCTTCTGCGGGAAATGATAGCAGTCTAGTGAACTGGAGAGCTGAAAATCTGTTAGCTATGTTAGCATGTTTAGATTGTGAACTATTTTTGAAGTATTTATATGTAGAATTCAGTTAAGGTAATTGTGGATTTTTAGAAAATATTTAACACATGTTTGGCGCGACTTGCATGGAATGAACCCATTCGGAATGACTTAGAACGCTGTGTGGAGAAAGCAAGAGAAAGCACTACTATTTTTTAAGGAAATAAATGAGAATGATTCTTACTTCCACAAGAGAGATAAGAAGAGTTCACATGATTTACTATTTTTTTAAATTCCGTTTATATTTTCTAAAATTGCTTTGAAATAGAATAAATTTAGAGTTGAGGTGCAATTTATAACTAAAATCGTTATTTAACAAATCACGAGATTGCTTATTTCTATAACTAAAAAAAAAAGAAAATTTCTTTATTTTCAATTCAATAATTTGTTCAGTCACTTCTCTCTCCCCGCCATCTTAGGCACGTGAATATATTATATATTAAAATCACCCTCTTCTCAAATAAATAAACAATAGTTTTGCTTGATAAATGTGGCCTATTAACTTATATTTGCTGCTATTACTTTTAAAGTAGTCTTCAATTAATTTAGATTGTGATTTTAATAAAGCAATCATTATGGAATAAATTCCCATGAGTAATTTGAAAGATAAAATTATTATTTTTCATTAAAAAAAAACAAATAACAGTAACCGTTTTTAAAAGTAGTGTTACGCTAATTTTGCACGTATGAGTTATTGAAACAAAAACTATACACACTAACAGCATAAAATTCTGTACACACACTAACAGCATAAAATTCTGTACATGATACGCATGATAGTTAATTTTAATATTATTTTCTTGTTTCAAACAATATTTCTTGTATGTATTACTTGTTGTATCTGTGCATACAACGGGCAAAAATAACTATTACTAGTAATTTTCACCAGCAAGGCGTTCCCCGACAATATATTTTTGCAATCTTAAAATTTCCAACAAAATTATGGACATCCCGTGTCAAAAATACCAAAAGTTCAGACCACCCAATTAGAATCTCATGACTTTTGTGACGTAAAATCTTCGTACAACAATTATTGAAAGCCAATTATTTTATTAGAAAAACACAATGACAGCATATATTGTATCCTGCGGGTGAAATACCAATCCAACAATAGCCTAGAGATTCTAGAAAACATCATTTTCAACATGTCGGCAATGTCACTCAATCATGTGCTTTGTCACTTTCATATGCTAAAAAAAAGGAGAAACACACACCCATGTGAGCTAATCCTTACATTACAATTAGTTCCAAATCCTTGCTTCTCAACCAACAAAATAACCATTAATATCACTCCATAAATAATCCTGTATTAACTTGTTTTAGGGTCGTGATAAAGCACATTTAATTGAGTAACATGTTTTCAGATTTTACAGTATATAATATATATGTTTAGTCTGAAAGTAAAAAAAAAATCATAAATACTTACATAATGTATTCAACAATGACAACATGATACAATTCTTCACTGAACAGAGTGACTTTCACTTGGCTGCTACTGCTGCATCCTTTCTTTCTGGGAGGTCATCAGCCCCTTTGCCCTATGCCTCAATAAATTCCTACGCGTGTAATTTGTTTCTTTTTTTTTTTATACCTTTTTTCTCCGGCTTACTAACCGAAAAAGAGTTGCAAGTTGATGCAATTTGTGTTTATGTAAATGTCAAAAAATAATTTGCTCGAAAGTAAACTAGTTTTACACTAATCAAGGGCAGTTTTGCTTCTGCGGCCGGTTATTGGGATAGGTAACCCATCGAAGATAGGTTTGGAAATAGTTGGCCATGCTGTTGCTGCTGAATTGTACTTTTCTTGCTCTCTGAGACTCGATGCGCTTGAAGATTTCCGCACTCCAGAAAGCCCGTCAGTGAATATTGATTCTCCAAACCCTACTGGAATAGAATCTAACCATCCTGAATCTGACTCAGAAAACAGTGACGCTCGACTAGCTGATTTTGGTCTAAGGGAAAATGCTTTCCCGGTGGAAGACGAACCAGAACCGTTCGATCCATTACTATTATTGCCTTCTTTGAGAATCCTTTCTGGCGTACTACCTCCATTATCAACATCGGCTTTTTGACGTCTGCGGACGGATTTCTCGTCAGACTTGTCAGATACTCCGTCGCCGATATCTGTAAAACTAAAAGGAACATACTCGGAGACTTCATCGTTTCCGGTCAGTAGATCAAATGTTGAATTTGTTGACTTGGAATGATGGCTTGGAATTGGCGAGGGTTTAGGAAGCCATTCGTCTCTGGAATGATCTGAAGTAGAAGATGTGTAAATTGCCATTTCTGTTTCTCCTGATGTATCTCTGGAACTTGATGAGTCGAGTCCATAGTATTTCTGTAAAATGGTCATAGCAGGAGAAATCTTCTGTTTAGGTGGTTTCAGTCTTAAGGACTGAAGAGGTTCCTTCATTGCGGATTGACCTGTGCGCGGAGGTCTTCTTTCGCTGCTATTTTCTCTACAATATGTTTCAGTCTAGAATGAGTTTCAATAATCTAGTACAGAATCTAAAATCAAAGTAACTGGTTAGTGAATATTGCAAAAGCTTCCTTGACCAACGTTCAAGTTGTTGTTCGATTATGTGCGGAAAATAAACTAAGTGAATATGATAGTACCTCAACTTGGCAGGTTCACTGGGAATCGGAGATGGTGGATGTCGACCTGGTAATGGAATTCGCAACATCTGCAGTGCAAACATTTGGAGATCTGTCGCCAAACCATTCATCCTTTTGATATCAGCTACCTGAATCATTACAAGGGATTTTAATTCGCACGAAACCACAAAATTTTCAAGAAAAATGAATGCACCAAACAGATAAATAATAGGCAGTCCATTATGTAACAAGTGCTTCAAGAAACCAGTTCAATGACAAATTAAGATTTTCGCTAGAACTATATAATCACTCTTATCGAAAACAGGAGGCGTGTGCATATCTAATAGTATTACGCATTGTCATCACCGGACACGGATTTCTACATTGCACGATTACTGCTCATGACGGATATGAAGTTTTTTTTTTGGTTTTCGAGTTTCGATCATGGCCCGCATCCACAATTGACAACACTATGTTAAATATCCAACAGAACAACTGTAAGAAACCGAAAAATCTTCACTCATATTCATATCCCTAATCCATAATCATTTCATTCATCATTTTCAATATCCTAAAAGTGGAGAATGGAACTGAAAAGGATTGAAATCATTGATCAAATAGCTTCAAATAATCAATAACCATATCACAAGATTAACATCTCTCATGTATAGATGATTGTCTTGTTGATAAAGCATTATCAATCAATAGATAACAAATTTTGATGCACTGATTTGCCGGTAGATGAAAATAAAACAGAAAAAAATACACATAAAAAAGAGAATTTTGGAAAGCACAAAACAACACAGAAATTCTTCATCGTGTTCATAAACATCCAAACCAAATTCTTTGAACCAAACATCAATTTTGCATATTTAAAAAAAAAACCCTAAAACCCCTAAAGAAAAAAGATAACAACTTTACAATATCAAAGTAAAATTCAACTTCAGATTCAGAAAAAACCAAAAGAAAAAAAAAGTTATTTCTAGTTTTGTACCTCAACACCATACTTAATAGCCACACCAGCAAGAGTATCAAATTTCGAAACATAATGTTCAATATAACTCAACCCATTACCACCCCCAACACCACCGTTGCCGCCGCCGTTCTGCAACCCATTTGACGGTGACATCTACTCCGATCAACCACCGACAGCAAAGATCTAAGATCTAAAACACAAGAACATGAATTGACTTGGAAGAAGAAGTTGGTGAAGAGAAGAATCGTTTCAGAAAAAGAAAGCAAAAGGGTCAAAGAAAAATCTAATCTTGAAGGAAGAAAAGGAAAGAAAAGATGAAGATGAAATTGAAAATACTAAAGAAGAAGAAGATTAGTTATATTTTTTGGTATCTCATCACTGAGTTTTTATTTGGCTGAGAAAAATAAAAAATAAAAAATAATGAAAATGAAAAAGGGATTTTATTTAATTGATTTTATTATAAGCTTCAAGTTGAATTTGACTTTTTTTTTTTTTTTCATTCATTACTCATTCTCCCTGCTTATTATGGTTTTCTGTCTGTAGTACTGCCAACTTAGAATTCTTAATTCATTGCTGTTTGTTTCTTTCCTCACTTTAAATTCCATGTCTACACTACTCATGTAAATTTACAGTTTTTTTTCTTGGTAATTAGTAATAATTACTCAATTGTTTTGTATATTTAATTAAATTAAAGAGAAAAGACAAATTAATACTATTTATAAATAAATTATTTATATAATCAATAAAATATTACTATATTTGTCTTAAATTATAAATTGTTTTGATATGTTCATGAGAGTTAAAAAGTATAATTTATTTAAAAATATGTTTATTTTATATTATTATTTTTATAAATAAATAAAAATTGAAAAAAATATGACATAGTAAATAATGTATAATATTTTTTTACATGATAATATATATGATATTATAGAAAGTAAATTATAAATTTTATTTATAGTCTTATTTATAAAAAATAAGTTACTTTTTAGATTCATTCAATCATCAATATATCTAAACTCTGTTTGGTAAAATTAGCTGGTAATTGATAGTTTATAGTTTATAGCGGATCACTGATATCTGATAAGTTAATTTGAATATTTAATAAATTAGCTATTACATTAGTTGATAATTACAAAATGAACTAAAATGACATTTTTAATTAAGAAATTGGTGATTTCATTATCTTATTATATTATATTATTAAGTTAATTTTTATTCGATAAAAGTAAATGTATTAATAACAACATGTAAAATAATTTTAATATATATAAAAATTAAAGATATCATCAAAATATATAAATTTGTATATAAGTTTTATGAACTTTACTATTTATTATGAATATATTAACGAAATTCAATAAATAAAAGAACCAGCAAATCATAGATGAAAAAGTGGTATTTTATAAAGTCATTTATGAGGACATAAAAGTAAAAATAATCTTAATGACTACAATTTTTGGTCTAGTTAACTCATTCATTCGTAAAATATAGTTTTTTTTTCTTTCTAATTTTATAATGAAATTTAATAAAATACGTGAAATAATAATATCGTAATTTTGAATTTAGTTATATTAAAAATAAGTTTATTGTCTAATATTTTACAATAAAACTCTGAATTTTCTTCACCTTTGTTAATTTCATTGATTATTTTATGATGTTTCACTAATTTGAGAATTATCAACACTATTTCTAAATTAATTATATAATTTATATTTAATAAATGAAAATAATGTTTATTATAATAAAGTAGAGAAAAATAGCAAAAATTTGCTATAGCATTATTCAAAATTTCTATAAATTCATTCTTTTAAAATCAATTTTTAAATAGTAAATATATATATATATATATATATATATATATATATATATATATATATATATATATATATATATATATATATATATATATATATATATATATATATATATATATATATATATATATATATATATATATATATATATATATAATAGTAAGAGTATAATTGAAATAAAAAGTCATAAGCTAAAAGCTGCTACTTTAAATAGCTTTTGAAAAAAAAGGTAAAAGCTATTAAAAAAAACTATAAGTTAAAAGTTAAAAGGCAGTTACCAAACATAGCTTTTTAATCAAAATAAGCTAAAAAGCTAAAAGTTATAAACTTTTTTTGTTAGCCTTACCAAATAGACTCGTCTAATAATAGATCAAATACATTAATTGTTGAATGAATCTAAAAAGTAAATTATCTCTTATAAAAAATTAGAGAGAGTGTAATATTATAAATGACTTAAAATTTTAATTACTTTATTTATAAAATGATTTTTATTTTAAAATCGATATAATAACTTAAGAAAAATATGATAAATGAATCATAATAAAGTGTATTAGATCCATCTCTATCTCCTAATTCATTCCAATCTAAATATAATTGGTTGGATTTGAGTTAGTTATAAGAAGATATGGATAAAATTTTACAAACAAGACATAAACATAATTAAAATTGAGGTGTGTTTATGTTATCTATCATGTTTCAAATAAATTTTAGGTCAAATATACATTTTTAATAATATTTTTTATGATAAATAATGATGCAATCTCAATAGAAACTTATGTTGGGAACCATTAAAATGTCTTTTTAACATTTCTATTGTTTTGCAAGATAATGATTTGGTGGAGAAAATTATTCATGTTTTGGTCTCAGATAATTCTAATACCTTTTTAACTTTACTTCCTTCTCTGCCTAAGATTAAGGAAGTATTGACAAGCCTAAAAAAGGATCTCCTTATGATTTTGGGACAAGTTTCTATTAATTGTTTTGAGACATCATAGCCAATGATGTTATAAAATGTTGTTATCCAATTCTTCAAAGATGACTGAATCTATCTAATTTCAATTCTAACACAATTATTCTCATTCTTAAAACTAAGGAGGCTAACATTATTGAGCAATACATACTTATAGCTTTTGCTAAATTTAAACATAAGATCATTACCTTGACACTGCCTGGCAGACTTGTCTATTTGCTTTCTCACATTATCTCAGATGAGCAAAAAAGGTTCATAATTGGAAGAAAAAACAATGATGGTATCTCCCTTGCATCTGAAGCTATCAACCTTCATGAGAAGAAAACTTTTAGGGGGAATATTTCCCTAAAAATTGATATAGCCAAAGCCTTTGACAATTGCATTGTCCTTTTCTCCCCAAAGTTCTCTCCAAGTTTGGTTTTGTTCCTAGATTTTACAGTTGTAATCATACAATTATGAGATCTGCTCATTCATCTATTGGTATGAATGGAAATAAATTATTTTTTTTCCACCTATCTCAATGGTGTGAGACAAGGATATCCATTCTTTCTTTTTTTTTTCTTCCTAGCTAAAGATATTTTAAGCAGAGGCCTTACTAACTTGATAACGAATGGGGATATAAAGCTCATTGATGGTACTATAAATTGTAAGATTCCTCCTCATTCCCTAATTGTTAATGACATAATGGTCTTCTGTAAAAGGGATAACAAATCTATAAGATTCATTACTCACTTACTCAAAAGGTATGCAGATTTTTTAGGCCAAGTGTATAACACATTCAAATTCATAATCTATGTTAGGGCCATGAACAGAAACAAATATTTGGCTTCTATCCTTTGGTTTGTAATGACTTAGCCTCCTTTCATGTACATTGGTGTTCCAATCTTTAGGGGCAAGTCTAAAGTTAAACATTTGTAATTCCTTGATGACATAATCATGCTCAAGCTCTCTAGCTGTAAGGTAACATTCCTCTTTGTGGCAGGTAGACTTCATCTAGCCAAACTTGTGGTATAAAGTATGATTTTTCACTCCATGCAAATTTATAACTGGTCTGTGAAACTTGTTTAAGATATTGAAAGGTGGATTAGAAATTTCTTGTGGAGTGGTGATGTAGAGAAAAGAAAGACAAATAATGTGGTCTGACATAAATGTTGCAAACCTTTTAAGGAAAGGGTTTGCTTTTTAGGTCACTTTTATATCTAAATAAGGCTACTAACTTGAAACTTTGTTGGGATTTCTTTAATAAGGAAAGTAGCTGGTCCATTCTCTTAAAAGTTAAAGTGTTAAGGTATGGTAAACCAATAAAAACAACATCCTTTCATCAACCTGGTATGGTATGGAAACTCAATTCATAATAATAACTGATAATTATTCTTTGCTATTAGGCAATGACATGGAAGCAAATTTCTAACTTGAGAACTGGTGTGACATGTAACACCCTGAATTCAATTAAAGTATATAATTGAATTTAGTCGCATTTTATTTAATTATTTAAGTAATTTAGAATGTTTAGAACTATTTATTTTAGCGATAATGTTTGTTATATTATTATTTAACACTTGTGGGTATTTTTGGGAGATTTATAGAGAGTCATAGGAATTTATTAGAATTCTTAGTTAATTTTATATGATTAAAATAATAGAATAAATAATAATTAAAATAAATATAAAATAGTGGATTTGTGAGAATTGAGTGGAAATTAGAATTAACAAAAAGATGAGGTAAAATAGTGATAATTAGAAAGGAGTTTGAGTTAAGGTGTAATTATTAAATTCAAAAATTAATTTTATTATTAAAAAGGGATTAGTGGAGCTTATTTGTGCCAGTATATAGAAACTGAGAGAGTTAGATAAAAAGAGGCAAACCTAGGAAACTCTTGAATGGGAAGAACACCATAGCCAAGAATTTTGATTGTTTTGCTACTCGAAATTAAGATAGAGAACTACTCTAATAATGAGTGTCAAATGTATGAAAGGTAGTGAGAGACCCTTATCCTCCTCTAGGTTTTTATTTTATTTTTTCTTTCTATTGTTGATAATTGTGGTTATCGACATGAATTGGTGATGAATCTGTTATGATTGGTGATATCAATATGAATTTCGTGTACTGCGATTGTCTTAGTTGTTATTCATGATATTTTACCATGAGTGTGATTGTTGTTGTTGAAAGTGATGATTTGATTCCATGAACGTAATTTTGACTATGTGAGTAATTGACGAATTAAACTGTTAATTGGTGTGAAATTAAAATGTTCAATATGATATAATTATTTTGTGTTAAATTCTGAGTGTTTGCCTTTTTACGGAATCGAAATCAGAGGTCCGGAAGACCTTCAATAATGAAAAAATCATAGAATTTTGCATTCT